TTTTGACTTTGAGAATATGTTTAAAGTATTTCAAGTCTCTAGTCAGGATATAGAGACTCATGCTGGTGTACCAGTATCAATAAATATGTAATTGGAATAATAACATCATAGAGATAGATCTTGGGATATTAAGTCCTAGACAAAAGACAAGCTAAATAGTACACACCTACGGCAAAAATGCTAAGAAGTTAGAGTCGAACCAGAATTGACTTAATGCATCTTAGATTGTCACGCGGTTTCTAACAGGACACTGTCTCCTCAACGAACACTTCATTAGGCTGAAGCTGTGAAACAATGTCGAATGCATGTCGTGCAATGAATTTTGGTACGGTTGATGTCGAGGATGGAGAGCTGGCCTCTGTGGAGCCGTCTGAGATACTGGCTTTTGTTAAAGCCCTGATACTGTATGACGAGTTATAACTCAAGAAAGGGGAACACACAAGGTCGCGGTGATTAACTCCTCTCCTAAACATTCTACATTCTAATGCACCTTACGAAAATGAGACTTTAAGTTCGGATGATACGAAATAAATTGCGATATGAAAATATTTTAAAATTCATATTCCGAATGAACTCTGCTCACTTTTTCGTTCTCTGTGAAGCAAATGAAAACTAAAACTTACAAAAATACTCCTTATTTTATAGAAAATAAGCCGTAGTTAATGTAGGTCGTAGATCATATAGGAGGGGGAAAGTTGATCACTGCGATCTTTCTTCTTCACTTATAACTCATCATGCAATCTCAGGATATTGATAAGAGCCAGTATCTGAGACAGTTTTACAGAGATTAGTTCTAGTTAATGTAACAAGTAAGTAGTAAACATTTAAACAAGAATTCATAAGCAAACTCCAAGTCAAAGTCAACTCCAAACACAAAGGTCTTTCGAGCGATATATACTAGGAATATCTATCTTTTGTTTCAAAAGGAGATCCAATTAACACATGTGATATACAGAGTTAAGTTTCTGAAAGGGCAATGAGATGGATGATATAAATTACGTAGAGGCGGAAATATAGCAGGGAGACCACCTAATCTAAGGTAGAGACTACAACATTAAGCTGGAATAAAATGGCATCAAGCCGCATAATATCGATACAGATCAGCGCAACTGAAATGAAAAATAAGTAGAAGTTAAGCATCACCGTAACTAACTGTAAAATAAAGCTGAAACTGATACTGAAGATGATGATATAGAGTCAGCCGTGCTTATCAAGCAAAATTCAAACGATGCGCAACAATACAAAAATTGAAATCTTAAAAGTGATTCTATTGTCACATTAGGTATGTTTATATAAGATCATACAATAATTGTATATCAAGAATATAAGAAAGGAAAAAAATGGAAAGATTTTGCCTATCTATCCCTTTCATAATCTATCCTTTTCATAAAATAATTTGGATGCACTTTTATGGTCGTTCTGGTCATATAATAATATATCTACTAAGGTTATATAAAAATTATTGGTAGTTCAGTGCGTTAAAATGTTACATGCAACGCGACTAAATAAACAAAAACATTTTTAACGAAACTCGCTTCTTATAAACAAGCAACCACTGCGAACCCCTTTTTAAAAGAAGTAGATACATCTCATTAATTTGCCAAAAAGTGACAAATGATTTATTGTGTTCTGAAAGTTTAACGAATCGGCGAGTTCATCGGCCGCGACCTTGACATTTGTTATGCAATCGTTTCGTTTCAATGCAGCTTAAAACTAAACAATGACTTTTAAACGTTGTTGTTTACATTTGGGAGAAATCTTTACGACATGTCACTTATGCAAAAGAGAAAGACAGTTACGTTTATTTACTACCGGTTCAGATACGACAAAGTTTATTGAGCAGGATTTTAAATGCTTCTAACATTAGAAAGTATGTTTTTGTAATGTTTTAATAATAATAATAATTGTTTTTGGTAAAAATAATTGGTATCAATTAAAATAACCATAAAGGGTATGGAAATGTTAGCTGGATGAAAAAAAAAACAAAAGCAATAAAACTAAAGGCGGGATGACACGGTCAAAGTGTACTTGGTCCAAGTTGCTGTCATATACGAGTAACTGTACTTATAAAAATTGGTCAAGTGCGAGTCGGACTCGCGCACGGAGGGTTCTGTACCATTCATTATCTATACAACATTAGACACTATATTATTAAAAACTTTTTTTCGGATTTAGCTGAAATTTTGAATGCGCATATAAGTAATTTAAAAAAAATGAAGAAACACATTACTAAAAATTGTATTAATCAATAATAAATATGTAAAAAGTAAAAATAAATATGTAAAATATGTAAAAATTAAAAAAAAACGATTAAAAAAAGTCGCCTTGACTAGGATTCGAACCTGCCTTACTACGGCTCCAACGTCATAGCAGCGTAAAGTCCTATCGCTTTAACCACGCCGCCACCGAGGACTTGAAAGATTCTATGTAAAATTCTTACTTAAAAGATAATGTTTAGTGAAAGTACTTTTTTATTTATAAACATTTATTTAGTTCTGTTTTTAGTGTTTGTTCTTATAGCGGCAACATAGATACATTATCTGTGAAAATTTCAACTGTCTAGCTATAACGGTTCATAAGATAGACCTCTGTGACAGACGGACGGACGGACAGCGAAGTCTTAGTATGTAATAGGGTTCCCGTTTTTACCCTTTGGGTACGGAACCCTAAAAATGCTGCGCGCATCTCACTTGTACGCTGCTTGTATACTGACTGTTTTATCAAAGTCGAGTTGGAAGGATTTTTAACATCAAAGTATCTTAAATGTAGAAATAAACTAAAAGGATCAAATTTCAAAAACGGTCTTCTAATATTTTTGAAATATATTAATGCCATTACTAATATAAACAGTAATATGATAATACTATTTACATAACGCCATGTGAAGTTTGTTGTTACGTGGTTAACGTGCGTAGTATAGTAGCTCAAGAGTCTTGCAGCAACAAGCAATAAATTATTTATTAATACCTTACAATTTCATAACCTGTGCATAACTGTTAGAAACTGAATTCATGGAGAAGTATAACCTAATGACCACAGGAACAAAGAACTGGTCTGACATGGTTAATTGTCATTTCTTAAATAAGTAACTGTGTTTATGCCGACTCTTCGCTATATGTGATATCATAATGAACACATGAGAAAGCAGTTTTGTGTGAAAACTATTATAGGAAATATTTTTTTCTCTTTGAAATAACAAACAGTGGTTTTAAACCATAGAGATAACCACTTTTAATAGACTATATTATATTAAAGCAGATTATTAGTTATTCTATTCTACTGCTATCTTTATAGGCCTCGTACCCTTTTCACTATATTTAATAGCTTGAAGACCCCTCTATGATTATGGTTCTCTCCGAAAGACTTCATTCAACTTCTGTTGTCGGGAACAAGCATATTTCTATCGCATTAACATGAAAGTTTTTTTTATTGTTTCTTCTTTTGATCGACACAATCTACACATAGCTTCGCCTGTTAATGTTATCAGCTATAAATGCTTATGTATTGAGCTTTGTCTCTGTCTTGACGGATCCTAGAAGAACTATAGAAGCATATTATACATTCTAATTTCAGAAAGGGTCTTTTTTAATATTTCATATTTTTTTCAATTTTTTTGTCAGTCCTTCAGGATTCACTGTTGGATATAGGCTGTCCTGGTTTTAGATATCAGTTCCAAATTGGTGACTCTTTAATATCATCCATTTATTTCCTATGGAGTTGTCCAACTCTTATGCAGTCTAGGCATCTACTGCATAATATGGTTTATCTAGCATCTAGCTAATGTGCTGAATCTAAGACTTCCTTATGATCCTAAATCTAAGAATTCCTTATGAAGTATCCTTATGATATCAATATGTTTATCACAACCTTCACCTTTGTTCTTTGTCTATTTTGAGCATTAAGTATGTTATCTTCAAATATCTCTTATTATCCAGTAACTAACGATATTAGTTATTCATATTACATAGGTATTTACATTTTACTTACTACTTTTTTTACTTAAAATGCAAAATGTTATTGATTTACGTTGATTGTATTTGAACTGCATCTGTTTCGAGATTATATTTTTGATTTATGTAATTTATAATTATAAATTTCACTTTCATCAGTAAGATTAGATCACTTATTTTTGAGCGATATGGTAAAATATATACCTGCATTTAAAATGCGTTTTCTTAAATTCTCTGATGGAAATACTGATGCAGCTTACTTCAATAATTTTTAAGTACAAATACAAAAATATAAAGTGGAACCAAGACGTCGTAAAATACCTACGCAAAGACACGCACAATAAAAGTATCAGTAAACTTGGATGTTGTAAACTACTAACATATCCTTTTCGATTCGATTATTGGGATATAAAATATCTCGTACTTAAGGGACGATGTCCCCATGACCTTCGTGCAGCTTACTTCAGTCGATAAATTTTGGCTTATGTCTATACTTCTTAATCAGAATAAAAAAAACATTCACCATCGTGAGTGCTTTGAACCGAAGTACTTTGGAGTCGGATTTTTCTGTCATATATTTTGGACCAAATTTTCTTGATCAATTGAATAAATCATATTTTCGAGTTATGGTAGGTAATATTTTTAATAATAATATCGAAGCATCACACAAGTGCAATAAATCCATTATAAGATATTGATTGATTGATTGGTAGTACTGTAATAACTGGAATGTTAAGTATATTTATAAGTTTAGTTGTTTTAATGAAGCATATTTTGTGAGAGATTCATATATTTATTTTTTACTTTAATATTTGATTATTCTGAAAGAATATTTGTACATTATGCAATTAATTCTCTTTTTCACTTTTGTCTCATACTTTCTCTTTATTATATTGTTGGGTGCGAAATTCTTTATTATGGTTTTTTATATTTGAGAAAAATATAGTTTATTTTCAACTTATCTACTATGCACATTACTCTCATATGTTATTGTATTCATTACTATACATATATATATATTACTTGTTCTACCTATTTATTTTGTTGCAGGATGTGCAATAGCTGACCATGCCTTCTTTCAACATTATGGCTGTGGCCCTCTACCTGGCCAATCTCCTTCTGTTAGCTACGGCAGGAGCGGAGCACGTTCGTGATTTGGAAGTGTCCGAAGGTGTGCCTATAGGAACCAAGATTGGATTTATCGGTGATGGAGCTTCGCCCGATAGCGGACCACCATATTTGATTGTGCCAGTTGGACCAGCTGTAGATACGGATTTATCCATCGATTCAACTACCGGAGAAATTCGAACAAAAGTTTCTCTGGACAGGGAAACACGGGCCAGTTATTCGTTAGTTGCTATTCCTATGAGTGGTGATAATGTTAAAGTAATAATAAAAGTACTGGATGAAAATGATAACGCTCCGACGTTTCCATCGCCTCTAGTTAATATTGAGTTCCCCGAGAATACCCCTCGGGACGTTAAAAGAACGTTACCTCCCGCAAGGGACTCGGATTTAGATATATACAATACGCAGAGGTATAACATTATATCAGGAAATATAAACAATACGTTCAGATTATCGTCACACAGAGAACGAGATGGAGTATTATACCTAGATTTACAAATTAATGGTTTCCTGGATAGAGAGACATGTGAATATTACAGTTTAGTAATAGAAGCTCTAGATGGTGGTACTCCGCCATTAAGGGGAGAAATGACAGTAAATATAACTATACAGGATGTTAACGATAACCCACCTATATTTAACCAATCCAGGTACTTTGCTTCAATTCAGGAAAACTCAACCATAGGTACAAGTGTCTTACAAGTAATAGCAACCGACGCTGATTCAGGCGATAATTCTCAAATTGGGTATTCAATAAACCGACGACAGAGTGATAAAGATATGCTGTTCAGGATAGACTCTAAGACCGGAGTAATTGCTGTTAATAAACCTCTGGATTTTGAAACAAAGGAACTTCACGAGCTAGTAATCGTCGCGAAGGATCAGGGATTACAGCCGTTGGAGGCCACCACGTTCGTTTCGATAAAAGTGATAGACGTCAACGACAACCAACCGACAATAAACGTGATATTTCTAAGTGATGATGCGACTCCGAAAATCAGTGAAAGCGCGCAACCCGGTGAATTTGTAGCGAGAATCAGCGTTCACGATCCAGATTCGAAAACGGACTATTCGAATATTAATGTAACGCTCAGCGGAGGTGATGGTCATTTCGGTTTAACTACCAGAGATAATATAATCTATTTAGTAATTGTGTCACTGCCATTAGATCGCGAAATAAAACCGAATTATACTTTAAATGTCATTGCCACAGATACCGGCATGCCTCCTTTACATGCATCGAGAACAATAAACCTGCAAGTGACTGATGTAAATGATAACGCTCCGGAGTTTGAGCAGGACATTTACGAAGCTAATGTCATGGAAGTTTCCGATCCTGGATCCTCCGTCATACAGGTGTTTGCAACGGATAAGGACGAAGGAAATAACAGTGTTATTACATATTCTCTCTCGGAACCAGCTAACAGTAACATAAATTGGTTTCAAATTGACTCTCGAAGTGGGTTAATAACTACGCGTGCGCATGTTGATTGTGAGACGGAACCTTTACCGCGACTTACCGTAGTGGCTACTGATAATGGATTTCCTCCATTGTCATCTACCGCGACAGTGTTAGTGACAATACATGATGTCAATGACAACGAGCCGATCTTCGACCAGAGTTTCTACAATGTCAGCGTAGCGGAGAACGAGACACAAGGACGATGCATATTAAAGGTAGATATATTTTTATATGGTATTCTAAATATTATAATCGGTTTGGTAGTTCAAAATATTAATCAAGTTATAAAACAAAATTTAAGCCTGTTTCCAGTCATATTTCTAAAGACATTATTATTATCTGTTAAAATTAATGTTTTGATTTACCTCGAAATATTTTTTCTATTCACAATAAATACCCGCTTTTATTGATATCCATTTTGTCAGGCATACTTTGAATGTACAAAAAAATATATTTATCTCGTGTTTGTTTGGGGACTGTATGCATTATTCGTATGTTAAGATATTACACTGCTTAATTGCTATATTCCTTCTTTTGGTTCTTCAAATTTCAAATCTTCTCGTATAGACTTTTTGGAGTTAATTTGACATTTTAAAGGGATACTCTCTAAAGAATAACCGATACATTTTGATTAACAATAGATTTTTAGTTAATATTTCTATCATCTATGGATATACGTCATATTAGTCAGTTTTACCATGTTATAATAATATATTTATTAATAATATAATTTGACATCATAGCCGTTTGATACTTTAACGAATTGCCTTGATATAATTGAAATTATAAATCCTACGAATAGTTCAGGAAATTGTCTTACAGTGGCAGATATTTCCCATGTTTCAGATCAATGCTCCAAAAGTTCTAGATTAACAACGTTACAGTGATGATGTATTGACAGTAATAATTAAGGCATCTTAGTCCTGTTATGAAGAATCTCTCAGGCCATCTATTGTAGAATGAAATAAGCGTCTTTAAAAAACGACCTATGGAAGTCCTATGCTAACGGAGATGCTAACTTTATAACGAGATATTTTCTGCGTGTTGTATGAATGATTCTTGATTAAGAATAGATTCCACATCTAAGCGCATTTATATTGTTCAGCTTTGCCCTTGTGGTATTAATAATAATTACAAACTTAACCAAAAACCTAGATTAATTTAGAAACGTCATCTATCTGCTAAATATCTATAAAATAAACTATGCATCTTTGAAAAATAGTCGATAAAGTTCCATAAAGTCCTACTCCGAACACTTTAGCAGTTGTGTTACAGCGGCTTTATTTAATGTTTTTGTAACACCAAGCAAGTTTTTTCTAGTTGTATGAATGAAAACATATCATACAAAACAGGGTTTTTCTCTGACCACACTTAAAATGATCTAGAAAAAAAATAGAGTTGATGGTGATGTTCCTCTTTAGGGTTAGATAGGAATAGCGCTTTATTGTAAAACTGTATTAGGAAGTTGTATATAAAATAATAAAGGTACTTAAATCTCAAAGAAATAAGTTCTACAAATGAAGAACATAAATTTGTGTTAAGTTATTTTAATTTATTATTATTATTTTAGTTTATTTTAATTTATTAAAAAATTATTCATTCATTGCTTTTTTCAATCTCCTACTACAGGCAGTGTTGAGGAACTCAAAATTATTAGAAAGCAGTTTTATTTTAAAAATGAACTCGTAATCGAACACGTTCGTATTCGCAGCGGTTGACGGTCTTAACATTCTAGAGATAATTAAAAATATTTACGATTCATAAATATCGGTAAATAGCTGAACCTATATATGACAGTATACAAATAAAGAATAAGTTCAAAGACCGACTAACTCAATGGGTGGCCATACCTGATTTTACCTAGATCATCTCGGAAACGGTATCATTCACTAGTTCAGTATGGAATTTCGATATTTTAAGGTTGCAAAAAAATGGAGTATAATTCGAAATATGCTGTATTTTACTTTTTTCCAAAGCCATTAAAAATCAATGAAACTAAATTATATTTAATCTGGTATTTAAAACATTTCTTTGGTCTCATGGTCAATAAATAATAAAATATTTTGTCATATATTGATTGTAAGGGCGGTAAATTTAAAAATAGCTGTTTAAACATGTAATTGTCATTATAATTTAAATGACGATGACGTTAGATAGCAACATATTATAAATTTAAAGAGAAAAGGGATGAAATTGGATTTCACGTTGTTGCATTTTAAAGGAGAAACGAGGACTATAACGGAAAGTATAGTGAGAATCAACCTTAAATATTAAATTAAGTTTAATAAATAATTTAAGAGATTTTGGTAGACGATTTTGTTACATTGTTACCTCCCATTTTAAAATAGGATACCTAGAAAAAGTCCCTAAATTCAAAAAACAGTTTTTTACTTAATTTCTATGATCGGTATTTCTTGTAGCAAAATAAAATAAAACACTAATTTACTACTATTATCTCTGTTCATAATTATTATCTTTACATTTATTCATTTTGAGTGATTTACAGACAATATGAACAGAGATACTGGTCCAATTCCTTCCAGTTCTCTGTTCCCCTTCTGCTCTAGTCTCGGTAATTAATTGTTACGCTCGGATGGTTTCCCTCGTTTGGCTAGTTTTACGATGCTTAGTCAGTGCCAACTGAACACCTATATAAACACTGATTTTGTAGATATTAGTTTAGTTTTAATCATCTCCTAATAATGTTAACATGTTTAGCGAAACGCGCGTCCTGTGTGTAAAAAACTGTTTTAGTTTATTGTGGTGAACTAGTGTTCTATTTTATTTTGCCATAGTAACACTAAAGTAATTTCCCACTGTAATTTCAAAAAACACCCAACTGTAATTTCATGTACCGCAACATTTTATTAAAATCATTTAAATTCTATTGTGATATTTAGAATATCGAACTTGTTGCAATAGCCCATTGAATTGTTGTTCTATTTTATTTTGCTATAGTAACACTAAAGTAATTTCCCACTGTAATTTCAAAAAACACCCAACTGTAATTTCATGTACCGCAACATTTTATTAAAATCATTTCAATTCTATTGTGATATTTAGAATATCCAACTTGTTGCAATAGCCCATTGAAAACAATAACTGAAATTATTATAATAATTTTCTCAAATTAAAAAAATAATAATTCATTTTAGCAAAAAGCACATTATAATAATGTTAAAAAGGTTCATTTTTGGAGGGATAATGGTATTAGGTCAGTTGCAAAATACATTACTAAAATTGATAATTTATACATATACATATTATAGACATTGTTTCTATTTTATAAACAATGCAAATATAAAGTTCGATATCTGGATTTCTAACTTTTTAATGTCTATTAGTGATCTCTTAAATATAAACAAGGGGGCATATTCAAAAATTCAGTTATAATTCGCGTATTTTATACAGATTCATTCATTGGTATTTTATTATATCATTCATTTTTAAAGTGAATATGTGTCCGAAACAACAATATATTAATCTCAGTTGAAGTAAGGATTTTTTATATAACTAAAATATTATTCTCAAAATATACAGCCACAATATTAGCTGTCTTAAAATCCGAATGTGGATTCTTCCCTTTCACGGTCGTAAAATAACTTCAGGTACGACCTTTCTTGAAAAGGGACAATTCACTATCCTATGTAAAGATTGCCTAGAGTGGCAGTGCGTGTCCCTCCAACTGCTATTTGCGTTCAATAATTTACCTGTAATATTTTTCCATTTCTCAAGTCAAACAAAACGTCCTAGAACAACATCCATGTTTAATTTTTGTTGAAAAACTAAAGAGGTTAAATAATGTGATAGGATATCTATGCGTAGGTTTGTCTGACTTGAAAGTCTGGTAAATTTATTTCTATTATGTGCAAATGATAATATGCATATACTATAGGAGTAATCTAAAAGTTCTACTTCAGAATAATTTAATTATGCCTAGTTTGGGGCCTTGAATCTTAGGGTAAATACACTAAAAGATAAAAGAATAAGATTGAAGAAAGTTTGAAGACGCTTTATAAGGATGGTTATGATTGGTAAGAAGACATACCTATTCTTCATGAGAGTTCTTCAGTTAATTTTTGTTTTCTTTACCTTGATTTTGTAATTATATTCGTACAGTATTATACAGTAGTATACCTCTATTGATATTGAATCGACGTTTTACCTATACACTTCATGACGAAATATAATTAATGTAGCTATATAATTTTTTTGTAGTTATATTTTTTAATAAAGAATTCTGTTTTATTTTTAACAATAATAACCTTTCTGGAATATTCTATCTGTTACATACTTTTTGTTTTTTTGAACATAATAAAATTTTGGCAATATTGAGCAAAATAATTAAAATATTTTCAATACAAAAAAACTACTTATTTATTTGTGTGGAGATATTAAAAAATACCAAGTAATGCCAAATAATTCCGTACTAATACCAATAATTACCACGAATAATGCCAAAAATTCCAACTAATACCAGTAATACCAGAAGTAATGCAAAAAATACCAATTATTAATACTACTAATAGCACGAGCAATACCACTAATACTTAACGCCAACATCTTGCACACCAAAATACACCGGCAGTTTACTCCTCGTATTGAATTGTGACTGTGGTATTGTATTCTTTGGAATATACAGGGTGTCCCAGAAATAAGTGAAAGTATTTTAACTGGTAGTATAGTTCGACCCCAGAAAAACGCCTATGAGGTTTTTCTTGCGAAAAAAAAATTTTTGAAAATTCGAAATTTTTTTAAAAATTTTTTCGAATTTTTTTTTAGTTTTTAGTCAAAAACATAATTTCTTGATAATATGGCAACATAGGTATTAGATTAAATTTACAAGAAAGAAAATCTAGAAAAGATCCAGTGGTTCTCAAAATTTTAGCAAAAAGTCATGTTTTTGGAAATATTCAAAGTAAAACAACTCCGTTATTTTGGACTTATTTGAAAAACGATAAAGAAAAATTATGTTTCTTTTATCGAGATCTACCACCCCCTAAAATACTTGCACTTATTTCTGGGGCACCCTGTATACAGGGTGGTCCGAACTGTATTCCAGAAACTGTAGCTCCGAAACTAATCATTTTAGGACATACATTTATACTAACTTTTTTACTTATTTTTAACTGCAGAATATACTGATGAAGTTTCCGGAATACAGTTCGGACCACTCTGCAGAGTAGAGCTCCAAGCATAGATATAATTCTTCCGA